CGCTCTGACCGGTCAACAACGGTTACGGTCAATGACCGGTCACAACGGTTATGACCGTGACCGTACCCATCCCTAGTCCCATGTCGTGTTGTAATAAAAAACTTTTACTAATCTCTTTTGGCTTTATTTTATTTACTTATTTTATAAAGTAGGAACAACTCGGTCTAACAACATAATAATCACTCCAAGTCTCAAATTCTGGCGCTTTAAATTATGGAAACAACTCTGTGTTATTTTGCTGCTTTAATTAAGAAAATTACTGGATTTAACAATTTGGTAACTACTCTAAGTCTTAAATTCAGTTCTGAACGAAGAGCTGGCTATGTATCTTCTTTTACATTTAATAAAGAAGTAATGCAACTATTGATTACTAGTGGCATTGATCAAGAGATTACTGGGTCTCGAATTTTCACAATTCATGAAGCTCAAGCAAGAAGTCTTGTTTTTCTACATTTCGAATTGCTTTGGTGACTTTTTTTTACTTCCGAATATTTTGTTGAATGGCTTTGATTTCTATTTTATTATGTTTAATTTTTTGATCAATTACTAATTCCTTCGTTTTTGATAAGTCTGACAGTGAAGATTGTGATCTGGATGTAAACCGGAAGCTAGAATTGGAACAAACGATAAGTACCATTTCATTTTCTTATCATGAATTTTATTTTTTTTCGTTCTCAATTGAAACCAGAGGTAGCTAATTGCCAGATTATTGCATAGGCTATGACATAAATATCAGGAAGTCTGGCATATTTCTAAAACGAGTAAGATGAATTAGAAGGGAAAAAAAATTAAGAAAGAACTTATATTACTTGATGCAAAAGAAGAACTGAAAATACGAAGCCGTATATTTATAATTTGCTCAATCATTGCAAAGCGACCTCAAAAATACTGTCAATTCATCAACTTAATAACAAACTCTGCATATTAAATAGAACTTTGAATTATGTGAGTGTGTGCGAAGATCCAGATTCAGATGATAGCAATAGAAAGGAAACAGAAACATGTTGCATTAGTATCATACAGGTATACTGCGATTGATTGTTAATTTTACAAAATAAAAATCATTGAAAGATAATTTATTCAATTTAAAATAAGCAATATGTATTAATGTTAGTTTTTGCAGTATATTATTTTGCAAAAGTGACATTAGTAAAGCTATACAATTTAGTTTTGTAATCTAGGATGTCATTTAATGAAATATATTTAATGGCGTCGTTATATTATTTCTCCAAAATTTGGATCGAAACTTTATCCAAGGATCCACGGGTAATAAAGAAGAAGAAAGGTCACCCAAACTAGTAGTTCGAAAACACTTTGTCAATGAATTTTTGTGGAAAATTTCTTTTTTTCATCTTGATATTTATGATCATTAGGAAATGTATGTACATCGTAAAGAATTTCATCATTTGCTTTCCAAACTTTCATAACATACATCCCACAAACAATCCAACTACCAACCCAAGGTTTCTTGTTTCCTCAATACTAAAGTCTGCGTATTTGGTAAGTCAATTTTTCTTTGATAACATTTTTTAGATATTCATTGGTTTCTTGATAATAAATTTTTGATATTTTCTTCAAACGTTACATCGTTTTTGGCTGCCATTTTTAAAAATATTTGATCATAGTTGTCAAAAATGTTTGACTAGACAAAAACTTTCTAACAGAAATATAATAAATTTTTTCAATTATTATGTTTGTAATATATTACGGCCTTAATTTCATCTGATAAACACTAAAACTTTTTTAAAATTATTATCTTTGATAGTGCACCAAGGAAATGCATTCTTTAATGCTTTTTTAATTTCTAGTCCAAACTCGTTATAACTAATAGACAAAGTAGTCAATGTAGTGTTCTTGTAAAGTGCATCTACTAACGCTCTTCCTCCTTTCAATCCAATTTTATTACAATCAAGATTCAAAAAAGTTAGTGTGGTGTTCTTACAAAGTGCAGTAGCTAATGCTTTTCCTTCTTCAGATTTAAGTCCATTTTTACTAATATCTAAAGAAGCTAACTTGGTATTCTTGCAAAGTGCATTTGCCAATGCTTTTCCACCTTTTGATCCAAGATTATTCTCTCTAAGACTCAAAGAAGTCAGAGTGGTGTTCTTGCAAAGTGCTTCTGCTAAAGCTCTTCCTACTTCTAATTCAAGACTATTAGAAGAAATATCCAAAGAAGTTAGTGTGTTGTTTTTGTAAAGTGCATCTGCTAATGCTTTTCCTGCTTCTTTTCCAAGGTTATTCCTCCGAATATTCAAATAAGTCAACGTAGCGTTTTTGCAGAGCGAATCTACTAACGCTTTTCCTCCTTCAGGTCCAAGATTATTTATACTAAGGTCCAGAGTGGTTAACGTAGTGTTTTTGCAAAGTGCATCTGCTAATGCTTTTCCTTCTTCCGATCCAATTTTATTCTCAGCTAGATTCAAATCTTTTAGCGTGGTATTATTGCAAAGTGCATCTGCTAATGCTTTTCCTCCTGATCCAAGAAAATTCGATTGAAGATTCAAAGAAGTTAGTGTGGTGTTCTTGTAAAGTGCGTCGGCTAATGCTTTTCCACCTTCTGGTCTAAGATAATTCGCTTGAAGATTTAAAGAAGTTAGAGTGGTGTTCTTGCAAAGTGCATCGGCAAATGCTACTCCTCCTTCTGATCCAAATCCATTATAACAAAGATCCAAATAAGTCAATGTGATGTTTTTGCAAAGTGCATCCGCTAATGCTTTTCCTCCTTTTGATCCAAGATTATTCAAACCAAGCTCCAGGCGGGTCAACGTAGTGTTTTTGCAAAGAAACTCCACTAACATCATTATCACTTCACTACCAATCTGATTATAATAAAGATTTAATGATTTTAGGGCAGTGTTTTTATGAAATGCCTTTAATAATACCTTCGCTTCATCAAACACCGGTTTAATATATCTAAGGTCCAAATGAGTTATATTAGAATTCTTACAAAGGATCTTCGCTAATATGCTTATTACCTTAGATTTATCACTAATGATATTATATAATGCTATTGAGGTAATAGTAGTGTTCTTATAAAGATTTTCAAATATTATCTGATTACAAATAGTTTTATCAAGAGTTAAATATTTAAGGTTTTTACCAGTTCGTAGCAGCATTGCAATTAAAGAACATTTAACAGCATTTTCAAGTTCACGTCTTAATTCAATTCTCTCAAAAGGAGGAAGCCAATTTCTAATTCCATAATACCAATCAAAGTTAACAGATGTGATATAACTTGTATATTCAAATAATGGTTTTGGTTGATTTGGAAGGATAATTTTAAAAGGAATTAATAACGTTTGCTCTTCAGTATTTAATGTTAAAAGTAATATTTTTAAAAGTCTTTCGTCTTGAAAATGTTGTTTAGGTTCGCTCCACAAAATTGGTATAATAATTCTACACCATTGACGGTTTACAAGTGCACATGAAAATAAATTTTTGGAATTATGCTGGAGGTTATTAAATATTTCATAGTAGTATTCGTTCGGTAATTTTATCATATTGAATATTGGAAAAATTTTTTATCGTATGATCGTGTGAGTCATTTCAAAAAAAAAAAAAAAGTATTTATATCGGGATGAAATTGTGAAACGTTGCCAAGAAGCTAAATTTGGAAAGATTTTCTGGGCATCAGCACGTGCATACGTTCATACGTACTGTTAGGGGCGAAAACGGCGAGTCTGTCGCTAGAAGACCAGAATTCTCGCGTTACGTCAATTTCAAGGCTTGAATAGAGGCGTAAATACGATTTGGCGAGTATCAAACTATTTTTGTATTTTATTTATG